GGCGGGGTCCGAGCCCCGCCGCGTGTCAGCGTGTGTCTGCGTTGGAACGCGGGCCAGCACGTGTCGGGGCGGCCGCGTCGGTGTGCGCCCCCGCGAGCGGTCTTGCATGCCTTCGGCATGTTGTGTCAGTGTCTGTGCAGCTGTGCGCGTGTGCGCGCCGGCCGCCCCCGCCCCGCCCTGCCCGCCCCTCCACACACTCTCGCTCCGACGCCCCGCCCCACCCCTCCGGCGTGGGCCCGTCACTCGCCAGGGAAGGAAAAATAGGCGGAGACAGAGCAAGCGAAGTTGGCCAATCAGAGCGAGACACTGGCGCCAGCTTCCCTCTCTCCGCCCTTTTCCTTTCCTCCGCTCCTCTACGCCGTCTCCCGCCCACTGGGCGCCGCTGGCTAGCCGGGCCACAGAGTAAGCTTCCAGCAGGGTAGAGTGACAACTCCCAATCGGAAGTTACTGTTGAAGCTAAGGCAGCCATAACTGAAAATGGCAAGGAGTTTCCTGGCTTCCTGTTTCCCGAGTGACGTAGGTTTTTCCTTCGCCCAAATCTCACCGTTACCCCGGGCAACATCTCAGAAGGATGCTTCTGTAAGTAGGCCCAAAGAGGTACCATAGGTGACCAGACAGCCCATGGCCAATTAGTAAGTTAATTCATACTCCAGATTACTGTTCCGGCTTCCTAACCCTTATTTTGCTGAGACGTCTGGTCACTTACCTAGGAGAACAGTTTAGGGCTCCGAAAATCCCTCTCCTGCCCGGAAGTTGCATTTGGCACTTCCGAATGCGGTCACGGCTGAAGGGTGGGAATAGCCTCCGCCACCCGCGCCCCAGGGGGTGCCCATTCTTGACCGGAGTTGCAAAGTGAGGTGAGTGTCCCTCGGCCCCCAGCCGTGGGGCAGGCCCGGGCCGGATGGTCCCTGGGGGACGGAGGGCTGAGGCGAGCTGAGCTCAGGGCCGCTTCCGCTGGAAGAAGGTTTTCTTTCCGGGCTGGCCAGGCGGCGGCCCGCCCCTCTGAGGTTCCCGGTGGGGCGAGGCCGCTCGACTGGCCACCCTAGCCCCGCCAGAGCCAACCGGGAGGGCCCCAGCGGGGAATGGGCGCGGACCTCCGGGCGGAGCCCACAGTTCCAACAAAATGGAGCTCCTGCCCGTGCCTCTGCAAGTTCTATTAAGTACTTTCACTCCCTCACCTTTGGAGGATGGAGAATTAGGGAGCTTGAAGAAATAATTTCCCATCTTCAGCTACAAAAGAAAAAGATGATCCTTTACCACCGCGGCAAGACCTCTAAGTCTTATTTCCCCGCCGCTTGTTTTCCTATTCTGATTTTTCTCCCCTTTCCTTTTATCTCCTTTCTTGAGTCTTTGTAAGCTTTGACTGCAGTTCTGGTTGGGGGTATATTGTCCTAATCCTGCGTGTGTACGGTTTAGTAAACAACTTGTGAATATTTGTAAAAATACCATATTACTTTTATATGGCTCTTTACAAGGTTATCACACATTATCTCATAGTTCCTTCTGTAGGCTTCAGTCAAGAACTCTCAGTCACCTTGATAATACCGGGTTGGATGCCTAAAGCTGCAGGAAAAAAAACCAGAACTTTTAGGTAAATTGAATATTGTTTATACCCAGCCAGTCAACAATAAGGGTGCAAGCCTACCTTCTTTACTTGAGTTCTGTCTACTTCCTTAGTACTCATGCTCCAGCCAAAATGAACTGGTCTTGTTTCTTTGGGGATTAATCACTGAAGTCTGTTGTAGCACCAACATTTTGTGATTCTATATCTGATTCTGTTATCATTGGAGCTGTGGTTCCAGATTCTCCCCAGCAGGAAGTAATTTCCTATGAGTTTAGCACTTTTAGTACTCTTTTATGACAATCACTAGTTTATATGACAGCTGCTTGTGTTTTTAGCTGTACTATCATATTTACACCTAAATAGAATGCTTTGTATCAGATTCATTTGCTATTATTTCACTCTGCACCTGGTATTATTTTGGTAAATACTTACTGAAAGATTGAATATATGGGCTGTCTCTTGGATGCCCAAGACACTGCCAGCCAAATGTTATGGACCTTCAGTTTATCAGAAATTCAGCATAGTTCCTGCTACTCAACCTTTTCTTAGGTTGCCCCTCTGAGGCCTTTCTAACATGATTTTTTTCCCCAAATGTTTTACTATAAAATTGTTCATACATTAAAAACCTGGAAGAATATAATGAACATTCATATACCCTTCACCTATATCCAACAGTTGTTAACATTTTGAACATTTTGCCATATTTATTTCATCTCTCATGTACTTTTTCATTGTCACTGAACCATCTGGAAAAAAGTTGCAGACACCTACTGTGAGTCAGACACCCCTTAGATTTCTAATATGAATTTCCTAAGAATTTTGAAATTCTCCTGCAAAACATAATATTATTACAGCCAAGGAAATTAATAATTCTGAAATATCTGAAATCCAGTCCATGTGCAAATTTTCCTGACTCAAGAATATCTTTTATACCTCTCCTCCACCCCTCTTCTCCCCAAAATCAGGATCCAGTCAAGGTTTATGTATTGAATTTGGGTATTGTAATTGTTCAGCCTTAATCTAGAACAGTTCGCCCATCTTTTTTTTCCCTCTCTGACATTGGCATTTGAAGAGTTCGAGCTAGGAGTCTTTTTGGAAAATGAGGCCCCCTTTTTTGTTGTTTATTGTAAACCAGAAGTTAGTCTAGAGGCTTGATTAGATTAACTTTAACATTTTTTGCGGTGATACTTCACAGTATTCATACTTTCCCATTCATGACTAAGTCTTCTCAAATACAACTACATGTACCTTTGCCTTGAGTTGCTAGTTAAATCCATCCCATTTTCAGCATTCTCACCTCTCTATGGTGTCCTACAAAGAAGAGTTTAGCATTTAATCCTCTTGTGTGTATAGAGTATGTGTTAGTGCCCTGGGCTGGCAGCAGAGACTGCCTACCTTTAATAAAGTGTTGCGGCTACTTTGCCTATTCTTAGAGCTGATGCAATGTAATCTGCAGCAAAGTGTACTGATGTCAGCATAGTTTCATGAGTTTCAACTCCTGGCACCTTGCAGACTGTTGTTGAAAGATGTGTGGGCCCTGCAGTTCACATACAGATGAATCTTGATGTTATCAAAGCATATACCTAGGCAACTGTTGGCCATCTGGCCGAATTCCAATTTAGGCAATGTTATTTTTCTCCCTGAAATTCTCTTACAAGTCCTAATTGGTCCTGGTGTTTTTGTGATAACTTTTTGGTAGCATTAAGCAGAGCCTATTAAAAATTGCAAAATCAAGATGATACTTAACACTTAGTACATTAGGAACCTGGATAAAGAAGTGTGTATGGAATTTATAATCACAAGAGGAAAACTCTCAAGACTGCCAAACTCATGTACTCCTCCTAGCCTACATTACTGACCTCATGGTTCTTGGTCCCCAAATCAATAGAAATTGGCACAAAACTGAAAAAGGAACTCATACAGGCAAGGCTTTGTGGGGTGGGAGGACAGGGGATGTAGGCTTTTGTTCCAACAAAAGTGAGACAGTGCTGGTTAAGGAGCAACCAGACTGGTTCTTTGAACAAAGGGCCGGGGAACTTTTTAAAGAGAACGTTTGACACTGGTATTGAAATCATAGCATATAGAGTTGGAGTTTTGTTGGCAGCTGCCCATCCCATGATCATGCTTCTTCATATATCACGTCTCATTAGCATGTTAAATTTCCACCCTTGCGCATGATTTTTAGCATTAAAATGAGGCAAAAGGTCTATGAACTATCAACTTTGTGCTTCATCTTTGGCAGTAACCAGTTTGTGCTGGCTTTGACTGGGTCCTGCGGACTCCTGCTCCGATGGTTGCCAAGTCCTGTTAAAGAAAGCAGAACTGCCTTCTATTGAAGCTGGGTGTTAATCATTTTCAGAGCTTTTGCTCAGTATTGTAAGCAAACTTAAGCTTTGGCTCAAGGCTCAGGCAGGGTAGCCAGAGTCCACCTCCTATACTATCTGGCCTAGACTTAATATTTGATCACCAAAGATAAGTGAAAGGAAGAAAATGCACTTAAGGGAGAAGAAAATGCTCTGGGAGGGCAGAATCTCTTAGATTGATATAGAATGTTCTTAACCATCATATTGAAAGTTAAGTAATGTACTCCATCAGTTACTTCCTTTGTGTAAAAATTTGCTAATGTGGGATTATGAAACAATTTTGAGTTGACTCCTGATTCAAGTAAGGCAAAATAATATGCCAGTTAAGATCACAGGTTTTAGAATCAGACCTGGATTTCAAGAGCAGGACCATTCACTGCTGGATGACCTTGGACAGTCTACTCATTCTCTTTATTATCTATTAAATGGAGCCTTTAAACCTCTAAGGATTGTTGAACAGAATTAATTCAAATATATGTAAAGCGCTTTTGTTGGTTTTTTTTTCTGTTTTTAAGACAGGGTTTCACTCTGTCACCCGGGCTAGAGTGCAGTGGCCTCCTCATAGTTCACAGCAACCTCAAACGCCTGGCCTCCCAGGTAGCTGGGACTATAGATGTGAACCACCACGCCTGGCTAATTTTTCTATTTTTTGTAGAGACAGGGTCTCAGTCTTGCTCAGACTGGTCTCAAACCCCTGGCCTCAGCCTCCCAAAGTGCTAGGATTACAGGCATGAGTTATGACACCTGGCCTAAAGTGCTTTTGCTTGGTGCATTGCACATGGAATGTGGTCAGTATATGATAGTTATTAATAACTTCTAAAGCAGTCCTATTTGGGCACACAGTTGGCATTAAATATTTAGTGAGTGATAGCCAGCATGGTGGTGCACACCTGCAGTCTCAGCTATTCCAGTGGCTGAGGCAGGAGGATCGCTTGAGTCCAGGAGTTTGAGGTTGCAGTGACCTATTATGATGCCACTGCACCCTAGCCCAGGCAACACAGTGAGACCTAGTCTCAGAAAAAAAAAAAAAATTAAATATTTAGTGAGTGAAAGAATGAATCTAAGACAGTAGTTCTCCAAGTTTAATGTGGGAACTTAAAAGTCAGATATTCTGATTCAGTGATTCTGATTTCTGCAGGGCTCCAAAAAAATCTGGATTTTAAATAGTCCAGGGGATTTTGATGCAGATGATTTGAGGATCTGGCTTTGAGAAATACTGTGTAAAGTATCAAACAATTTTTTATTTTTCTTTCCTTTCATAATATTGAAATAGCTAAGTGTATCAGGTGCTGAGCAAATACTTTTTTAAAAAGTAACTAACATAGCTTAATAGCTAACATTTTTAGGACCACTGTCTAGTACTGAATTTTGAAATAGGAAAGGTAATTAGGAAAAGGCATTTTGCATAAGTAGGATGTATCATTACTAACTTAATAGTAGTGTCTGCTACTGGAGGATACCATAACCAATGGCATCATCCAAGAACATTCCTAGTCTTAGGCCTCGGCACATTTCAAAAGCTAGACAACGCACATTTTATTCACACGAGTCTGAATTAATTAGCCAAATTGAACATGTTGCAACATTTTTCTACCAGCAGATGCCAGATAGCAAAGCAGAATAGAATCTACTATACTCTCCAACTATGACATATGATGTTACTTGGCATCTCCAAATGAACATTATCAATCCAAATTAAGCACTCAGCTAGCATGTGGGCAATTGCTTGAGTTAGAGTGAGCATTACTACTTTGTGTCTGCTGAAAAACTCTTTCTGGGCTCCCCCTTTCACCTTCTTCTTATATTAGTTTACATTTAGAAATCTACTGTGCTTTGAAAATTCATCTATCAGTCAACCACAAATCTTGGATAAGACAAAAGATAAAAATTTTTGCCATTATTCCTATCATTCCCACCACCCCCACTCACAACCTGCACTTGGTAGATTGAAGTTACTTTAAAGGAGCTCACTTAATAAATATTCACAAAAGAAGAATATCCTTTACATAAAGTACCCTTTACTGTTCTTTACTGTGATTGCTTCTGGTTCCTCCTTCATCTCCCAGAGATTGTCTATTTGCTTCTCAACACCCATTAATGATAAAATTAGACCGTTTGGCATATAATATGCATTTGCTCTTGTTGCAAAGTCAAGTGCCTGTGGGAGTTGGTCAAGTAAGGTAAGGGGAAACAATAGGCAGTACTAAAGGCTGGAGAATTCAGAGCACATGCTTACCTAAATGAGGCGTTACTCCCAGTCCTAGCCAAATTTTGCCCTGTGGGAATGCAGGCTTCATGTTGCCAGTTATGTCAAGCGAAGCTAAATTTTGGATTTTATGTGAAATTTGATTTTTAAACATTGGCTCAAATACTTTTTAAGTAGCTAGGAAACCAACAAAACATTTAACTGCATAGGACCAAGAGCCACCAGTTTATGACCTGTGTGTTCCTTACATGAAAACATGATTGACATTTTGGTTGAGAATCTCAAAGTGCTTTAGAGATGTTTACTTTCTGCCATATGTCAGGTGCATTTACCCCTTAGGTTAGGCAACAAGTCACTTGTCATCTCTATCAAAAATTCAATATTGATTCTTAGGTACAACAAGCTTCTGTTCCCTTGATTACAATTTTAAAGATTTTTACTCTTTGCTGCCCTCTTAAAAATTTGTTCACATTTTCTCAACTTTGAGTTATATTATGAAATCAGTTTGCTTTATTATCATATTTTTAAAAATATTTAAGAATACAATTTGGCAGCACATGCTGCTTTAAAAGTAAATAAGTAAAACAGGTTTTTAAAGAAAAACACCTTTAAATAGATCATGCTGTCTTATAAGTACCGTGATGTTTATGAGGATTCAAAGATTTTTCAAGTTGGAAGCTACTTTAATGGTAATCCAGAACAAGTCCTTTGTTATAGCAATATGAAAATTAGACCCAGAATAATAAATGTCATACTGTATTTCTAAGCACTTTTACATCCACTTTTTACTGGAAACATACAACCCAGATAGATAATAAACATGTTTTTTAATAAGAAAACCAAACCTCTGATTAGTTAAGAAATGTATTCAGGGGCACACAGCTAGTTAGCAATATGGCCAGAATACAACCCTGTACTCCATTTAAAGTATAAACTTGAAATAGAGTACAACTCACCAAAGTGCAACCCTGTACCCCATTTAATGTGTAAACATCAGATAGACTGATCAGAAAAAAATGAAAACATCTCTGGTACAAACCTCAGTTTTATTTAAGTCATACACGAGATTTTGCTGTCATACCTTGTCTAAAACACTTCAAACCCTAGAATATGCTGATGTATTCCATTTCAAACTTTAAGACTGGGCTTTTGTACAATTAGGATAAGCTGATAAGTTTAGATAAATTAATGGAGGGGAAAAAAACACAATGAAGACCTAATGACAGGTTAGGAGTAGTAGGTACATGTTACGGATGATAACCACATTGACCCATGGAATGGCTCCTTGGGGCTTCTAGCAAAGATCAAATATTAGACTAGGGAGACTTAGTGTGACCTAAGAGGGCAGCTTTAAAAACAGATCTGAATCCTGTCCTGAACAGTTTTGAAACCAAGACTTGACTTTGGCATCCACAATATGTTTTCATTTTGATGTTTCTGACATATATGTATATGCTTTGAGTTACTAGAAATGGAGTTTAGATTTTAGTAATCTAGTCCCCTTCTCTATGTGCCTCCTCTGTGACCACAGCTTACATTTTCCAGAGGGCTAGATGAAAATAGGTGTAATCTAAAGCCAGTAGTCCTATTCAGCTATTTAACCTGGGATCTTGGTCTAATCAATATCTTCTCATATGAGCTGTGATATAAGCTGTCATATAAACTGTGATATATCATGATGAAGAGAATTTAAAAATGCCAAACTTATAAGCTTTTAAAGTGTTGTATATTTCTAATTAAGCTTGAGATCTGAAAGTTCCCAGTGTCATGTTTTTAAAAATATACCTAATGCTGTAAACAAAATCCACAGTCAAAAAGCAGCTTTTATTCCTAAGAGATTTCTTTCAGGGTGGTATCAAACATGACAACTGGAATGGTAAATCCAAAATTAAAAAGAAAAAGAAAATCCACAAGTTGATTAGAGTCATACATTGGTCTGATTGTGACATAGTTCCCAAACTAAAGAGGAAAAAAAAAAATGTAATGCTTAAGTCAGTATGCTACACTTATTTTTTCATCTACCTCATTCCTGAAATATACTGTTTGACTCATGTTTTATTTTCATCCTCCTTTGCAAAAGTTATTAGTGGCTTCAAAATTGCCCATTTCGGTAGAAATTGAAGATTGTATGTTACTTCACCCTTCATTGGCTTCTACATAGTATAGTCTACTGTCTAACATCTCTCTAAAATCATCTTAAATTTTGTTGTTCCTTTGGTGGATCTCCATACTAAATCTACTTGGGGCCTCCAGGCCATTCATGCAGTGAAGAGCGACCAGGCTTTGTAGCATAGGAATAACAGGCTATACCATAGAGCCTAGGAGTGTAGTAGACTATACCATCTAGGTTGGCGTAAGTACACTATATGATGTTCACAGCACAACGAAATCACCTAATGATGCATTTCTCAGAACGTGTTCCATCATTAAGGGACACATGATTGTACTTCCTACTCTGGACTCCCAGGACAGTTGATTATCAAGACAATATAATCCAGCCAGTGCTGTTCATCCAACCACCACCTTGCTTACTTTGGCCTTTCCCTTCCTGTTTCTCTCCTGCCAATGCCTAAGGGGGCCTAGGAACAAGAACCAACCCTAGTAAAGCAGATATTCCACCCAATCAAGTGACTGACACTGATCTTCCCCATGCCAGGCCCAACCCACTCTCTACCAGTCCTTGGCTCCACACACTTGCCCAGTAACAATGGCAGCTTAGTCAAACAGAGAACTGAGGTTTGGTAGAGCACCAAGTTTCATTGTTTTCCTCAGGCCAGATTTTGGATGTAAAAGAGGTATAGACTAAGAGAAAACAAAGGATAATGATTGAATTCTGAGTAGCTGGACTTGCTTACTATATAAAACAGGTAAGATTTAAGAATTTGTTCACCCACCACTTTAGCACTGTGGTGACACATATAAAAATTCTTAGCTGCTATGTATTTCCTTCACATTTACCAACATCCGTAGAGTCTATCCTCCCTTTCAGTGGCATATCATGTCAGATTTGCATCAAATAAGGGCATAATGAGTATTTTCGTTATAACGTCTAGAGTGTTGTTTTTGATAGCTCTATTCAAGGATAATCAGGGATCTGCAATGTTACTAGCCTTCAACCTGACCTGGAAAAAACCCGAGCAATGATCACTAGGTACCACTAGCAGACCTAAGAAGGAAAGAATGTGGTAGGATGTGCATTCTAACAAAATTGCATATTCTATTTACCTCACATTCCATTTAGTGGTAAGTTGCTTTATTCCTGGTCCAGTCCCTATTTCACATCTTCTCTCCCTGACAGCAGTATAGGGGTAAAGCCTGATGACAGAATTCTGGAAAGCAGGTAGAGGTTTCTCAGGAATTTAGACATTCCAGAATAAAAAATTTGAACAAGAAAGGGGAAGAGGCTTGGTGGATGGAAAGTAGGAAGCTTTTATTAGGAATGTTAAAAAGTAGTAGAGCAGGAATAGCAAAGACCAGAAGCAGCTTCATTTGATTATAATTAATTTGCAGTTGGCAGGAAAGGCAGGCACCAAGCCAGCATTACCACTTTATAAATAATAAATCTTTCTTCTGTGGTGATGATGTTGGGAAAGATGCATGGTAAGATTGCATCAGTATGGTGAATCACTAAATGGGTGGGACTGTCTGGAGAGGCATCTGTGTTTGGAAAAGGGATTATTCTATAGCTTAGTCCAGAACACCTTGAACATACAGCATGGCATTTATCTGGGATATTTAACACTTGGAGCAAATGTCACTCCCAAAGATGGCATGTATGCTGGGATGTTCATAAAAAAAAAATACTCATATGAAGGTAGCATATAGTATCTTTGTATTAAGAGGAAAATAGTAAACTGAAAGCATGCATACCTTTTTTCTGTTCTTCAAGAGCCAGTTGTGTTGCTTCCTTACAAATTACAGCTGTGTAGCCAGTAATTGATCCTTAGGATGCTGTTTGTTGTTATGGCAAAGGGATTAAAAGTAGAGGCCAACTGTTAGTGTTAGCTATTGAGAGAAGGGGGAATTTTAGGAAACATTTGCCCACTACCTCCTTTTCCTAACTACCTGCCTCATCCCATCTCTCAAAATGGTGTTTTTATTGTTTTTTTGACGTCATTCACCATTTAGGAGAGACGCTACCAGTAAACCGCAATCGCTGCACATAAATACTTTTTCCTTAGCTGATACTTACTAATCATCTTTGCCTAAAAAACTGAAGCCCTACCACTTTTTCACTAGGAGGGGAAAAAATTTAGAACACCCAGCCTTCCAATTAACACCTCCACTAATTAAAGTTGACAAGATCTAGATGCTTATATAAACTATCTCAACCTTGTTTCAATGAAAAGAATCACAGGAAATGGGAATATTATGCAAAAACATGGTAATTCACTTTCTATAGGAATTGATTTCACTTCTTAAACTACAATGGAAATTTCTCAGGCAATATCCTTTGTGGATTTATTCTTGAACAATATTAATAATTGATTTCTCTTTGAAGGAAAATCTTAACTGTATCCAGTAATTAAGATATGGCGGAAGTGAAGTCAATGTTCCGGGAAGTTCTTCCAAAACAAGGTAATGTACATTACAAATACTTAGGTCATTGAATATCACAGGGACCAATAAAGTGATAGGCAGTGTCACATGGCAGGCCTAACAGCTAAACATCTGTAGCTATTTTTGTTCTATGTCTCATTTACTGTCCACTTTTACTATATACTTTTTTCACCAGTAGGTTGTAAAGGAGGGATCCTCACTTCTTTTTCCCAGTAAAAGGACATCAAATGAAGCATCTTATAATTAGAAATCCTGTTATACCCAAGATTGCAGATTACAATATGAAATTTTCAATTAAATAACATAATGGAATTTACCATAATAACTAAATATGGTCTGAAAGTGGAGAAAATAAAACCTAAAGCAATATAATTCAGTAATTAGAATATTCAGGTTAAATTAATACCATACTTTGTTATGCACTATGTATATATTCTCCCAAATCTTGTTTAAAATTAAACATTTCACAGAAAAAGTCAACTTATGGTAACTTAGAGTCTTGAGTAGAAAGCTCGAAATTTGTCTTCCTCAAGAACACCCTGGTATTAAGAAATGTTGCTTTTGGGGTAACTATCTTTCTGGTCCCAAAGCAAAACTCAGTCTAGGTACAAGAGTTTTTCATTGACAATGGAATAAGCTCCTACACCTTCATTCTAGCTGCACGTCCAAAATACCAAACTACTGTTATGTCCCTTGAATTAATTCTTATTTCTTTTTAAACTTAGGGCAATTGTCTGTGGAAGATGTAACCACAATGGTGCTGTGTAAACCCAAACTTTTACCCTTAAAATCTCTGACTCTGGAAAAACTGGAGAAAATGCAGCAAGCAGCACAGGATACAATTCACCAACAAGAAATGGCAGAAAAGGAACGACAACAAATAACCCACTGATAACTTAGCACTTAGGAAACAACATACCTTCTCTACTATGTAACAATAACTAGAAAATCTCCATGTGTACGCTGAAAGTAGTATTTGTTAATAAAACTGATAGTATTCATATAAATAACACAAAAATACCCAAGGATGATGAAACATACTGGGAATTTAAACACTCCAGTTTCAATTGAACATAAGAAGTTAAACTCTGAACCAAATTTTATAGGATTTTTTTTTTACTCATGTTTTTTGGCCAGGCGCGGTGGCTCACGCCTGTAATCCTAGCACTCTGGGAGGCCGAGGCAGGTAGATCGCTCAAGGTCAGGAGTTCGAGACCAGCCTGAGCCAAAAGCGAGACCCCGTCTCTACTGAAAAATAGAAAGAA